TATAATAGACCAAAACTGAAAACATTTCCCCTCCCTCCGAAAATAAAATATTGAAATTTCGAACTTGAATTTATTGGGTTATCGAAATATTTAATTTGACCTATCTTCTAAGTCCTAGTTCCGACAAAAATTCCGTCAAAAATTCCGAATTACTTAAGCTAAAGTAAAAGATTTAGTATATATTCACTGTATGTTAATAAAGTAATCAAAGTGTAATAAAAATAGATTATAGAATTTACGCTGATTTAACTTTTTGTCTGACTGCACAACATGTAATGGAAGAGAAGGTTAGTAGAGATCTGTTTTGACATGCCTCTAAAAGTAGATGTCATACTCCTTTTGTCTCTTCAATGTCAAAAAACTTTCCTTTGAGAGGCAACTTTAGTTTTTTGGAAAGAAAAAAAATCACAAGAAGACAAATTTGAAGAACATGCAGGACGATTGAGTACACATACTTATTTTCGGAACACAAGCGGTTCTCCGACTGGTTATTGAATAATGAAAAGATGCATTGTCATGCAATACAAAACATTTGGAATACGTTTTCTGGCTGAATAACATAAGATTAAAAGTCATCTGCTTAATTCACATCCATTTACAAGTCAACTACTCGGGCAATTGCAGAATCGTTTTGATCCTGAGCTTGTAAGACAAACCTAATATCACTGGATTTAAACACTTCTTTAATCTTCCGAGAACGTTCCTTCTTTAGCTCATATTCCAAGAATATTAAGTGAATGCAATTATTGCCAAAGAAATTGAATATTCATTTGCACTGCGGCTTGGTAGTTTACTAACGAGTTAACAAAACTTAAATTCTGCTTTTTGTGTCTAAGAATACAACAATATTTTAAATATTTACAAATAAAATATTAAATTGGAGCCTCATCAGTTGCCTAGCATTTGGAAAAAAAAAAAAAAAAAAAAAAAGATTGTTAAATACTAATTGTTTGCTGCTCAGTCTAACCCAGGCTGCATGGTTGGTTTTCGTAGTTTTTTAGGTTCTCTTTACAAAGATTCTCTATGAAAGCATCTTAATCAAATAGCTCCCATGTTCTTTCTATGTTCCAATAACCAACTAACCTAGTTTAAGCGCGATTTCCAAGTAAAGTTACTAGTAAAATCCGAATACTCATTAAAAATCATGTAGCTAGCCAATCGGGAGTAACATGAGATACGGCGCCAATAATTGAAATGTTACAGTACGCTGTTTCTTAACTTCTTAACTTAGATGGTCATTCCTTAATTAAATAGCCCACCAACGGCCGAGCGGTAAAGACGCTGAACACTGGTAGTTCAGTCCGAGGTTCGAATCCCGCGAACGGGCTGGCCGCATGGGCGGTTTCGTGGTTTCCCCATGTGTAATGTGTATACGAGCCAGTTTCCCTTAGAAAGTCCTCCATGAAGGCATCCCTCCCTTTAGGCAGATAGCCCTCATGTGCTTTGCCATAATTAAATAATCCAATCCAATCCTTAATTAAATATAATTGATTTGTAAATTCTACTAGAACTGACGGTAAGAATTGAAGTGGAAATAAGTAATATGGTGTGCAATCTTGATTAATATAAAATTAAAAATATTTGCATAGAAAAATGTTTGCATTCAGACAGAAAGTTTTTTGAAATATTTGCAATTACTTTATAAGAAGGATTTATTAATAACCGTAATAATTACTTATTATATTACTGATGATTAGGATTCAGTTCTTGACAATTACATTCTAAATTAGAATTTTAAGGGTATAATGAAAATACGCTACGCACAATACATTTTAGGAAAAAAAATGAGTTGATTTTTTTTATGTTTTAAAACTTCTTAAATTCATTTAGTAAACATCGTATCCTCGTTGTTTATTGAATCCAGAATGTTGGGTGTCGTTTATATAATTATTCTTACTTGTCCACAGAATCTGCTGACTTACCCAGCCATTAAGTAACTGCAGATCATTTCTACATAACCATTGAACTTCCATTAATTCATTCTCTAGAGGGTTGTATGTTTATATCATAATTTGACTTTTATAAAAAATGATTATTCTAAATATTATGTTTCTATAAAAATATATTGTGCTTTAAAAATATGGATAATAGTATCAGCCGCTCTTTCAGCCACTTCAAAAGCAACAGTTTGTTTAGAAATAAATTATGCAATTAATGTCATAAAATTCAAATAAATATCAAACGAAAATTCTCAGTTTTAGACAATTCGATTTAAACGAAGTAAAGTAGCAGACGATAAAACGCCGAAGGTAAAAATTTACTCTTACAAAAACTTACTCTTAAATTTTTTAAAAAAAGAAAAGATACGAGAGAAATTTAAAAAGATAATTAAAAATTTGAATAATATCATCTATAATTTAAAAAATAGCCTTTCATATAGTATTAATAAATATTTATTACGCATCATTGAGGGAAAAAATGTCATATAATTAATTCTTCGTAAAATTTTACTTGAAGTTTAAGGTTAAAAATAGCTGTGGCAATTCAGTGTAACAAAAATCCATAGACCACATTTGGCGTTATTATCGCTCAAAAAAAAAGGTGCCAAATTTCAAAACGCGAAATTATGTAAATTCGTGTATATCTTAGAAAATTTTGAATAAAAAAGTCTAATTTTTTGCAGATGTGCTTAAAAATACACCTACTTTAAGATGATGGTAAAAATTTTATAGGTTATAATTCAAAATTTTTTTCAAAAAATCTATAGAAATTATTTAAAAATAAAAATTTAAAAATAAAACGCAAAAAAAAGGGTAAATTTTATTTGGAATGAACCAAAATTTCGAAATGTGAGAAAAGAAAAAATCAAAAAAGTTTAATAAAAAAAAAGAGATATTAATAAATATTTGCCAAATTCAATTAACATTGAGGAGCTAAAATTTTGAGAGCTAATATTTTAAAAACTATTCGTACGATTTTTACAAAACTTGGTATTCTGGCATAATTTGAGTCGTAGAATCGAAATATGTAAAAAAAATGGTATGTTATTTCAGAAAAAGTCCGATTTTGTGTCAAAATACCTATGTTAGAATAGTGCTATATATAAATCTAATATATAGCCTAAGTCGCGCTTTCGAGACATGAAAAACGCAGTTTGAATTTTGTCAATCGGCCCAATAGAACGGGAGATATAGCACTGTCCCACTTTTTTTTTTTTTGAGCAGTGTACATCAGACACATTTGTCGCAATAGATACAAGACTGAACTAAGAGTTAATTGCAATTCAATTACATGCATATAAATCAATTTAAAATTTAATAAAATAATATTCAATGACATAATAATGGCTACGGAAAAAAACATACATATAATTCACATCACAACTTTTATAAAATCTACCAAACTATTATATGCTTCTAATATAGCTGTTCAAAGCATTCTAAATGTTAGATTCTAAATTCTACTATTATAAATTCTATAAGGAAGTGATTTAATATTTTCTATCTAACACACAACTGTACATTCAATTATAAAAGCACAGCAAAACATTATAAATTCAAAAACACTGGTGCATTTGTTCTCAGATTCAAAATGCAAAATAATTTAAACTTGTTATATAACTATGGTATTTCGGCTGCCCTGCTCCGAGGAAACTTAATCTCACTGCAGGTCGACTCTACCTTTGGGCACATCGTGGAGGTTCAACCACCACTATTACCCTCCAGTAGGCCGCGCACCACCTGGACATGACACCAGGCAGCACCGGTCGTCTTATGCTCCTGCCAGTCGCTCGGGCGAGCCCGTCGCAGTGGGACATTACCCAGCGACCCCAGGGGATAACCCCCGGGTTACTAGCACCACGCCGCGCTAGGACATGCCAGACTCCGAGGCCGGCCAATAAGTGACCTTTCCCAGAGCCTTCAGAACCACCAAGTTCATAAATTTTATACCCCCGTGGCCGAGACTGCCTAGGTACAGATCCTAGCCAGTAGCTTCGCAGAGTTCTCTACATCGACCCCCGGAGGGGATTGTTATATAACTAAAAAAAGAGGCTAAACCTGAAAAGTTTATGCATAGCTTTACTGAAGCACCTCAAAAAGATACAATTATAGATGAAAATACATATACAATGAGAAAAGAGTGACAGAGGATGCATTTATGAAAATGCAAATAAATTTCATTTTTAAAATGCTTTTTTCATAAGAAACGCATCTTTTCGAATATTAATATGTACTAGATGAATTATTTCAGACAAATGTGTAGGGAGGAAAAGCAAAATGTCATTAACAAATCAGCACAGACAGCATGGAAAAGTAATTAAAACGAAAATAAAATATTCCTTCTTTGCATACTTAAGTATATTTGCAGGGAATGAGGTTCTTAGAAAGCAAACTCAACTGTTTAAGAAGTATCACAGTTGCTCTGTGTGGATGCAGAAACCCACATAAGTATAAAAAAGAAAAAGATATTTAAAGAGCAATATATATATATAAGAAGAAAATAGACATGTTAGATCACCTCAAAATGCATACAGTTTTCCTACACAATTAATATCAATTTAAATTTTACCCAATTTTAAATCATTTCTATTCTAATCAAATTTATATTAAAAGAAAGGAATGAAAAAAGAAAGCCATCTTATAGGTTTAAAATTTCAACTTCCATACTATTTTCCAAGTTTCGATTTCCTTATTTCATTACTTTCTAAAGTATCAATTCCTAAAAATTCCTAAAAGCAAATGGTTAAGACAAGAAAAGAAAAACTAAGCTACAGTTTGAAAACAGAAGTGCAAATGCAACCATGTGATAAAAAATTTTTGAAATTCTTAACAACACTCTGTTTCATTATCTTCTTAAAGCAAAATTTGGTCCTAAGCCCATTTTTGCAGATTTACATCTTAAAAAGAAATTATGCATTCTGTGACTAAAAGCTTGTATCTATGCTAATATTTTTGGGTCAATCAGAAAAGGAAATTTGTTGGGAAGGTCTGTGCAAAGAGTTGAGAGAGGAATGGTATATATAGGAATGAGAAGAGCGTTTATTTAAAGGCATTAATTACACTGATAACTGTTAATTTTTCCAGACTGTCAGGCAAGATTGCATTCTTTCAAGTTGTTTTGAAGAATTGTATCCTTAACCGCACAGAAAACCAGACGAATATTTTCAGTATCTATGTGTATCCGACACAGTCAGCATGCAAACAAAAGTCATAAAATGAATTAAAATATAATTAAATTTAAAAAATCAATTTATTACATTAAATTAAGTAAAAATTGAATGCAACACCACATACAGAAAATCATCCATACAACTAAAATAAATAATGTCAAGTGCAACTAGATTGCTATCCAAAATAACCTGAACGTATAAAATCACTAGCATCAAGAATTTCACATGCAAAAGACGAAATAGCACACAATTAAAGTTAAAACTAACCTGTTGCACATGTGAAATGAGAATACACCATTCGATCTGGATCAGGATTTTGAGAAAGATACATTTTTAAAATGAATTCACGAGCAGCTATATGATCTTGTTTAGGACCTGTAATTTAAATCAATTTATTTTAGAATGTCCCAATACTTTGGCATGTGAATGCTTTTAAAATTCTTTTAAGCAGACATGTTATCACTAATATCTCTAAAAGGGAAGGAAAAAGCATTAAACTATGCATAGCTTATTCAAAAAAAAACAATAACATTTTGGTAATTTTTTTTTTTTTTTTTTTTTTTTTTTTTTTTGTCTAAAAATCTAAACGATTTAGATGTCAATTTTATGAACTGCTTTAAAATGTAAATAGACTGATAAAACCAGACTTTTATGGACACACTTAATATACACAATAATTTGAAGAACAGGAATAAAGACTGAAATTAAATCATTTTAGCACTGTACCTGTTCTTTGGTTCTGAAATGCAGTTTCTAAATTATTAATTGAATTATTTATTTAAAAACTCTTTTCAAGGACAGAACTGGCCTTTTCTATATAAAAATTAATAAAATAATATTCAATTAGTCTGAATGCAAGAAATATAATGTTTTAAACAATTTCCCATGGGCAAAAAAATTACAATATCTTTAGCCCCCTTCAAAATAATAATAATAATCCATTGAAGGCATGGGCATTAGTGTGAGCATAGGCTACATATACATCATAGGTACAATTTCTTAAATATCATGGGGGTTGGAAATATTAAGCCTGAAGGTTTGGCAATTTTTCAAGACATCTAGACATTACCTTCTTTGATTTTAGATGTTAATAGGTATAGCTATCTTCTGAATCCCCATGACAATTTTGGGAAATCTTTCTTTTCCCAAGAAATCTTTCAGAGTGATAAAAGATAAACCTTATTTTCCTCTTGTATATTTGTTTTTCAAGTTCTAGCTTTTATTCCAGTTATAATGGATTAGAAGATATGAGTTTTGTTATTGATGATGGAAGAATAATGGCCACATCACTAAGACTGGATGTGCTCATATATGCTCCATTTTTAAGTATTGCTCAGATAGCTTGCACAGGTGGAATCCAACCATTTCTTGAAGAAAAAGAAAAGATTCAAGAAAAATAGATATGTTGACAAGACCGCACCGAGTTTGATCGAACAATGTTTCACAATCTCATTTCTACCTGAATTTTATAATTACCCATTCAAGTCTCATTTCTTCAGATACTGATTACAAGACAAGAAACTACTCTTCTTTTACAATACAGAGTAAAGAATTAATTTGAAAAATGATAATTCAGAGAGAGTTAAAAACGCATGTGTTTTAAAGAATGAACTTTTATCTTCTAATTAATTATACATCTTTTTTGGGATTTAAGAAAATTTGTTTTCCCCTGTATGCTTAATTTTTATCCTGTATTACCAGCTATGCTGCCAGCCTTCGTCTGGCTTTTAAATGTACCGTAAAAATGCCTGAATGAAACACCAAACGTTAAATTTAAAAACTGCACAGAATTTTACTCTGCAGAAAACTTCCGAAAAAAAAAAAACACAAAGTTTTTTAAAAATATATTACATATAAAAAAATTAACCAACTTTCCGTTGAAGAAAAAAAAATCATGCAAAATTTTTCAATATCTTACAAACAGTGAAATAAGCAAAAAATAACATGAAAGAAACTCAAAAACAAAAAATTCCAAGCAGAAGTTTACTCTGCAGAACAACTTTATAAAAAAAATGTATTATATATATAAAAAAATGACAATGAAGTATGCCAATCTCTTAAAAACAGTGACATAAGAAATACGACAAAAAATTGTTTCCAAATCCATATTTCTAAAAGAATGAAACTATTCAAAATGATGCGATTTCATCAAAAATCTATCAACAACAATAAGAAAGGAAAATTGTTGCCAAAATCACATTGTTAAAGATGTGAGATATGAGAAGTGTACTCAGAAGCTTCATTTAAAAACAGTTTTTTAAATACAAAATATTATCATTTTTCCAAAATTCTTTTTGTAAAAACAGTCGCAAGGATGAAAGTTTAACGTGTCTAAAAATCAAAGAAAAATAAATTGTACATTTTTAAAAAGAAACTTTTTTAGAAAAAATCCCATTGAAAAGGTGTTAAGCTCGCTTTGTTAAGTATTTAATCGATTTATAGAAACACAAAATTTATTTTAAGTTTGTAAAATAGCTAAGTGCCTACGTTTCATGACGATGTGAAAATGGAATGTGTAGAGTAAAATCTCACTTTCCCATTATGTCTCAAAATGACGCAGTTTCGTCAAAAAACATAAAATTTAAAAAATTATAATTCGAATTTGAAAAAAATCGCTTCGAGGTGCACTGGCTCTTGTCTAGATACACCTATGTAACAAATTTCGTAGCCATGGGTATATTAGCTTACGCGCAGCGCGAACGGAAGACACAGACAGACTCTTTCTTTTATTATATGTAGAAATGAATTATACAGTAATCATCAATATATATAACGTGTTCTTTCACTCCTTTCAACATGCCTTTGTGGCATAACTTGAAGCATACTCGATACATATTCGAGAGGTCTAGGGTTTGAGTCGCAGAGAAGTCACTGCACATTTTTCATGTCTCCTGCTTTTAAATAACCTAATGATTCTACAAGCGATACCTAAACTAAAAGGTGGTGGAAGAAAATTTGTCACCACTAGGATTGGAGACTGGGTCCCTAATCCTCAGTTGCCTTTTAAAAGGGGGAGTTATTAAGGTTTTTCTCTCCCTTCTCTCATGCATGCATTCATGGTGTAATTGGAAGCATACTTGACTTAAATTTGAGAGGTCTACAATTTGAATCTCTGTAGGAGCATTGCAAAATTTTCATGGCTCCCACTTCAAAAAAAAAAGGGGGGGAGGGAAAGGAAAAAAAATTGACACTGCAAATATTTCAGTTTTTAAATCATCACTCATACCTGACCTGTAGAAACTCAAGAAATTTCCTGAATTCCTGATGTTCCCATTAAGAACATCTTTTCAATTATAAGTAACTAAAGTACAAGTAATTCATATTATTTAAAATATAAAATATATATTTATTCATATTATTTAAAATTCTAATAACATGAGTCATATTATTTAAAATGTTTTAAATAATATGACTTGCATCATTTTGGTTAATATATTTTCATGCATTTTATAGTAGGAAGTGGGTGTTTGGAATAGTAGATTTTTTTTTTTTTTTCCCCCAAAGCAACAAACATTTAGCTTCACTTCTCTCTTATAATAAATGTATTTCTGAACTCATCATTTTACTGACATGAATGACTACATATATTGCATATGCAAGAAGCTGTCTAAGTGATTAAACTCTTAATAAGCTGGATGCTATCTTTTTGTTTCAAAAATAAAAACAGCAACAAGACATTCTTGTATCAAAACATACTTTTTTTTTTTTTTTTTTTTTTTTTTTTCTTTCAGGGACACAATCTTTTTGGGCGAATTTTGGTCTACAAAACTTGAATCCTGCAACTAATTTAGCCAGTCTATGACTATAATTGTCACTTTCTACTGGCAGTTTTGCCTACTTTTTTAAGGACAGTAATATTGCTAATAAACTGTTTTCCATAATTAAATTTCAGCTTTCAAAATTACTGTTCATATAATAATTGAATAAAGAATTTAAGAAAACAATGTTAATTAAACATGTGAGAATTAAACATTATTTATTGATAAATGCATTAATTTTTCAAGATATTTTCTCTCTTTTTCTTTTAAATATATTTGAGATGATAAGGACATATACAATTGAATAATTTCTTGTTAAAAGCTGATCTCCTGAAAAGAACCATTATCTTAAAACAAAATGCAGTATTTATTCACTAATAATAATGATAAAAAAAAACTGAACAGAATGAAAACAAAGTGAAAATTATTTACTTTAAAAAATGAGCTCATTTATTTAAATGAAATTACATTACAACACCTGAAACAAATATCTGAAAAGTATGACCATTAATTAATATTTATTAGTCAATTAATGATCATTTACAAACAAATTTTAGCATTAATCAATTTATTAATGTTAAACTAAACTAAACAAAATCAAAACTTAAATATACATATTAGAGAAATGAAAATTTACCTCTAATGAAATATTAGCCATATTTAAATTGTATTTTAACTCCTACACAGAAGTTAAAATATAGATATTTAAATTTTTAAATAACTTAAGCTCACCATCATATTCCGGAAAGTAGTCAACCAAGTGTGAAACCATAATTTTTTCTTCTAAGAGATCTTTTTTGTTGAGAAAGAGGATGACTGATGAATTTTGGAACCATGGATATGTAATAATAGTTTTGAATAATGCCTTGCTTTCTTCCATCCGATTCTATATCAAATAGAAACTCCATTAAAACAATCAGTTATGTAGAAAAATTAAACTGGTCCTTTTTTTATTTAAGTGGAGAAAGCGAAAAATTGTTTACATTATACTCATGGGTCAATGACACAAACAATAGAAGATAAATAACTTGAAAACAATGTTAATTTAAAGAATAGAAATAATGAATTTACGTTACATACAAGCATTAAAATAATGATAGTAAAATAATGAAAAATTTAAAAAGCAAGATGAGGAAGCTGAAATTCAAATTTTTAGAATAAGAAGTCTAAAATACAAAATAAAATTACTAATTGTTATTGGTTTATCCACCTGTGAACACATTTTTCCCTCTCTGCAATTAAAAGTCAATAGTAAAAATTTTAGTAAAACTACTTAAAAGTTGTCTTTTTAGGCTTTTTCAGCAGAATTTTAATAAATACACAACTTCTACAGATAAATGCCCTAACTTTGGCTAATTCTTGTTAGTCCGAGGGAAATTGATTTCTAAAACTCTTAGATATTTCTTTAATGTTCATGGAGACTCTGGCAAAGTACAATAAGGCTATCTGTCATCAATTGCAAATTTGATTGAGAGATCTTAAATGAGATATATGAAGATCTTGTATTCATCTTCATTTATCAGCAATCTATTAATAAGACTTTTGGTCAACATATTTCAAATGTCCCCATTCAACAATATAACTATTGCTTCAAACATCTAAATCTTGAGCTCAGCAGCATGACAGTTGGCCTATGCTTTTATAAATGTATCACATAGTAAAGATTATGACTCTAGAGCGTATGCTTCATAACCATATCACATAATAAAGATTATGAGTCTAGAAGTAACCAGTTTAGAAGTTTTATTTTCAATTATTGATTAATATGCTGCACAGTATGAGTTTTGAAAATAAATACAAGTGTGAATGTTAAAACCACTGAAGAAAACAGGCAAATTACATCCAAGTCATAAATTTCCACATTTCATAATAGTTTCAGTTTCAAAACTTGATGACTCAGTGAAAGCAGGGCATTAATATTATAAGACTGTGACTATAAGGCAGAGAGCCTTACTGACTTTGATCTATCCATATTTCAATAAAAATACAACATCACTGAAAAATTGAACAATAGCTTATAACCAAAATATTTTGTAATAAAGCTTGCTATAAGCAAGTTTGACCACAATTATGCTGCAAAAATGATAAAATTCTTAGCATCCAATTTTTCAGAAAATAAAAAATACAACTACTATTCCTTTTTTTTCACCACAGTGGAGATAATGTGCTACTAAATATACGTAGGTTGGGGCACATGGTAATCATTTTTTTTTTTCTTGAAGTTACCAGTCCGGTTGGAAAATGTGACATATACAGACATAAGGACAAGGTCTTAACTACATGTGGTGACAATGAATAGCACTGAAATATTGTAATACATGAATTTATTACGGTAGTATACAGGGCAATATAGCCTTCACCGTGCAAAAGAATGATAACACAATACACATAAAGTTGACATGAAAACCTGGGCCTAAAGACCTTCAATGTAGTTCCCTGCTACTGTCAACACATGCTGCCAATGATGTGGAAGGCGCTAAATATCATCAGCTTCAGCATTTGCCGCACCATGTGTGAATTGGGTCATCTGTTGGCACACAGCATTAGCAATGTCCTCTCATGTTGCAAACCACCTACCACATACTCTTTCCTTAATCTTGAGAATGAGATCAAAGTCACAAGGCAAAAAAATCAGGAGAGTATGGTGGGTGCTCCAATTCTTTCCATACCCAACGTCAGAGTAGCTGCCGTACACACTCTGCTTTATGTGGTCTTGCATTGTCATGCAGAATTATTGCATTGTCCAAACGATCCGGACGTTTATCCCGAACGCCACATCGTACCTGTGGCATCAGGAAGTTCCTTTAGTACTGTGCGGTCACTGTTATGCCATGAGGAACAAAGTGGCAAACAATGACACCCCTGACGTCATATGCGATGATCACCATCAATTAGACTAGGAAAGGATTCTGACGCTAGCTCATTATGCAATATCCTGTGGACGTTGCGTATCTCGATGCCACTTGCCCTCTCTAACTCCAATAATGTCCATCGCCTGTCTTCATCCATGAGGTGCTCAATGACGGCATGTGCCAAGTCGGTCCACACACCGATCGTTGGTTATCACTGGTTGACACACGTCCTTGCTGAAACATTCCTACCCACTGAGCTACTGTAGGATATAGTAGGGCATTATTTCCAAGGGCTTCTACTAATTCACTGTGACATTCCATTGCATTTCTCCCTTGGAGAACAGCTATTCTGATGTCAACGCGCTGCTCAACACAGGTTATTTCCATCTCGCACGGCACTCACCAACTGACTGATTTCAGAGCCCTCGCTACCACAGAGCAAGCTATCACAGAGCCATCTGTTGTTCTGCATACACACTATGCCTGCAGAACTTCCACACGAAACATATACATTTTGTGATCTTTTCACATATCTACAAGAAAAAAATAATTGCCATGACTTTTGCCCCAACCCTTGTATATTAAATTTTTCAATGCAAGAATATAATAATACATATTCTAGACATAAAGAATTAACACACAACTGAGATTTCATTCATTAAAAGAAGTGTATGATAAGATGTGGGACTTATTTCTCTTTGATTGCAGCATTTAATTCAGTGTAGTAAATAGGAAGGGAAACATAAGTTTCAAAAAGCATTATTTAGTACTAATCTCAGCCTAAACAAAATACCTCATTAAGACTGAAAAATATATACTCAAATTAAGAAATATTAAACCTTGGATTTACTAGCACATCTGAAGGCAAGATTTGTTAAATTCAATTTGACATATTTTTATTTGCTAGGTTTAAGAGCTCTATCTGGCATATTATTAATCAACACACTAGGTCAATTCCAAGAAATTAATATATAAAATTAAAAAATGGAACAGAAACAGTAAAGAGGTTATCACATCTAGCAACAGCCCCTGCTAGACAGGACTATTTTCTGAGAAACGTGATTCTGATAGCACTGGTCTAAATGGGAGAATTGCTAGAAAAAAGAGCTTTGCTGGAAAGTGAAGTCCCACCTAACTATGGAAACAATGTACCGGCTATGCAGGATTTTTTGAAACTTCACTGAAATTGTTTCGGCTGGAGCTCTGTCCCGCATAGAGATTAACCAATCAGACAAAAAAGTTCTGCTTCTAAAGGATAACGTGATCCCAATCTGAGCAGTATTCGATTACTGTTGGGCATTGTAGTAAGTGAAAATGGTAACCTAGCTACATGGAAATGTGCGGGTTCTGAGAATTGTCACTTTTGATGTCCATTCCCGCATAGCCGAAACATAATGTGATTGGGACCTAACAAATAAAAGTAAATTAATGAAGTGACGAGGAAGTTAACTATAATAAAAAAAGTGAAAAAAATATTAGCCACAAATACACAAATCAATTTTTATGCTTTTAAATTAACAATTCTCACTACAAATAGCAGAAATATTTACACTAGTTCAAAAATGCTAGCAGCAGTAAATTATATTTAACATATACAATTATTATTATTCAAGTTTTGGATAGAAATTAGTGAAGTTACTTTTTTTTCTTTTAAGAGGTGTTTATCTTTTGGGAGGAAGGAGGAAAGCCCAATAGGCTGTCAGTCTCAAAAACACGATTTTGTATTCTTTCACTTTTCATCCGAGTCTTCGAGTCTGTTGTCGTTCAGCAAAATGTAAGAGCTTTCAAATTTAATGATCTGTTATTGACCAATAAAATAACATATTTAAAAGCATTAGATGCAGTTAACACTCCCAAGTTAGTCTAAATATACATTCATCTTATCTTATAAAATGTTTCACTCTTCCTCCAAAGCTATCTATCTCTATTGATAACTGCTACAGAGAAAACATATTGCACTTTAAAAAAATCCTTCTGGCTGACTTAAAATTTGAATTCTTTCAGATTTTTTTTTTTTTCCCCTTGTAAAAATTTGGTTTTTGTACACTTTTTATTTTCTACATGTCATACATTCCATCCATCACAATAAGTTTAAGCTACCTATTTTAGTAAATTGCTCAGAATTACATAGCAAAGCCTAGTTTTTAGGTTCCACGTTCTTTTTTCTCTATTTTTTACTTACTTCCTTCTTCTATCCTTTCATTTAAATATTTATCAATTTAATCCTTTCAATGCAGAAGGTCTACCTAACTCGCTATTAACAGCGACACAAATTTCACTGGCACTGTTACTCCCAATAGATCCACGGAAATCATACGTATCATTTAAAATATAAGTACTTTCGTATTAAGTTTCATTTATGCATAAGAGAAGGTCTACCTAACTCACTATTGATTTTCTCATATATTTTATTTACCAAATAAACTCTTTTAAAAATATTTAATCCATAAGGCTATTTTGGCTATTTTAAAATTTTTGTTATTAAAAATTAAACTTAAAGCTTTTTTAGATTTCTATCTCTTATAAGATAAATAGATGATAACCAGATATATTTAAGCTTCTAGAAACAAAGTTTTTTTTGTTGTTCAATAGTTCCTCAAACTCATTTCACATGCACTTGAAAACTGGAAATTATAAATCAATAGCCCAACTACATGTGATTTAGTTATAGTAATTTAAAGAGAAGAAATCTTTCATAATACAGTAATTTTACATTACATTTTATTATATTAAAGATAGTGGTGGGAAAAATTAAAAGAATAATGATAAAAACTCATGTAACATCAATGATTTTGCAGGTAAAAACACAGAAATTAAACAAGATTTTTATTTTTTCATGCCTGATACATATTCAAAAAGCAGTATTGCCTATTTTTGCAAAAAAAAAAAAAAAAGAGAGAGAGAGAGAGAGAGAGAGTAATGACACAGGAAATGTGAAATAAAGTTTTTTAAAAAAAAAAAAAAAAAAAAAAAAACTTTTTAGATATTTATGGAAAACTAAGTTTTGTATTCCTCCCTGATAAAAGCTCGGTGTTTGCTTCTGTGATATAAGTTGGCATTCTATGGCATCCTACACATGTTCTTTTGGGTTTAAACCCGAAGAATATGCTTGCCACTCCATTCGCTGCATTCTATGGATGTAGTATTGTTGTGATTTATATTACTTGTCTGATGGTAAAATCAGAACAACACCATGAAATTCATTGTGGCAAGGACAGCAAGATTGTGCCTGTCATTGGTAAGATCCCTAAGCACCATACAGGTGACAACACGACTTCGCTCCATTCTGTCTCCAATTTTTAAGGACCTCATCCTGGGAAGGAGAGGTCCGAGGGTCTCCCACCCTTCTTCCGTACCACCTACCTCTCGAGAGGACATTTGGCTCACCATATATTTAAAGTGCCCCATGCCACAAAGACACTATACACACATTCAATGCCTTCTCCGGGATTTAAACCCAAGCCCTTTGGTACTGCAGTAGGCTTCCCTAACTACTATACCGTCTGGATAGCTCAGCCGGATTCTTTCAGCCACTGGTGAAGTAAAATATGTATGAGCACTATCATCCAGTAGGAGGAATATTAGGTTCACCCCTCTAAATAACTTGATGAAAGAATTAAGAATCTAATCTCTGAATATTTCAGCATTCACAGTTGCACAGGTCATATAGTATGTAGTAGGCCAGTTAGTCATATTTGTAATATGTAGGTCAAAGGAACCATTCAAAATAATGGACTTTTTTGCTTTTGGTTATTTTTAGGTTTTTACATACCTATGTCAGTGTCAGTCCTGCATTTATTCTCCCAAACACATGTCATTTCTCACAATCCATCAAATGCCTTGCCAATGACATGTTCCAATTTCCACATGCAAAAATTTTATCCAACTACTTATACAGTCAGTCCTTGAAATTAGACTGTGAAACGCCTACTTGCAATCCTTTTCATGCACGCCAAAAGAAATCAGATATGGACAAAAATTTGCATATTTCTGCATAGCAAATATAAATTGCAATCCTTTTCATGCATGCCAAAAGAAATCAGATATGGACAAAAATTTGCATATTTCTGCATAGCAAATATAAATTCTCTTTCCCTGAACTTGGGAAAACTCCTTTTTAAAGTTGTTCCTTTCATTTTTCTCACGTACTTACAACCACACATGAAATAAAAAAATATTCAAAAATAAAGTGCTATAAACTGTATCAAACTAATGAAATGCAAATTTCCATTACATACTTATTATAATCAAGAAGCACACAAAAATAATGAAATCTAATTCATATACCACAAATATCATAGTATATATATAATCCTTTAAAAATATCTGTTAATTAAAAAAATAGCATTAAAACTTTCTCAAGCATTTGCATATAATAAAAGATAATATACAATAAATATTTTCCTACTGATACTTCTAAAATGCCATGCATATTTAAGTTTTTTATTAAATACAGCTAAAATGCTAATCATTATTCTTAGTTTTGAAAAATTCTCAATGAAAAATGAAAATACTTTAATAACAAATTCTTAAACAATTAAATGTGTACAAATTAAATAAGAAAAATCACATTTACATTTCCAATTTTAATTTAATACATTAAAAATGTTTTTAAGTAATAAAATATAATTACTTCATTATCTGATTCAAACAATATTTGATCATATTCACTCAAGGCAACTAAAAATATTATAGATGTGACATTTTCAAAACAATGAATCCATTTCCGTCTTTCAGAACGCTGTCCCCCAACATCCACCATTCTAAAAATACGAAAGTTATTTTTAATCATAGATTAAAATTACAATAGAAATAAAAAAATTGCAACAAAATCAATATTACTTTGGGGGGAAGAGGCATATTTTTTTTTTTAACTCTACATAATCAAACACAGATTTTAAAATTAACTGACCTAAATATGATAGAATCCAAATCAAATGGGTATTCAATTATTCCAGTAGTTGGAACTCTTACTCGGAGAATATCTTGTTGTGTTGGCAAGTAATCTGGAAGTGCAATTCGCTCCAAATCACTAAGATAACTGAATTTTGGGTGGGAAAAAACATAATTCCATTAGAGTTCATGAAAAAGAATGAGAAGCAAGCATAGGAAAATAAAATCACCTAAAATGTACTCCTTCAGAAAAACTATTTTTCGATTACTGTGATATTTATTATAAAGAGACACCAATAACAATAAACTGAATAGCTCAAAAATTAACAGTTTACTTACTACTTGGCTGAATCTGTGAGCTGGTATTCTCTCCTTCTGTCATAACATTCTTGAATACCAGGATCATTCCACAATGCTCTGATAGCATTTACAAACTGACTTTCAAATGTAGTGACTGTTTCAAAATCAACACTTCGAACAAGCTCAGCATTTTCCTAAAATATATTAAATAAATTATTATAAAATATACTGTGGTAACAAAGTATCAGTTTCTGTCAATTATTTTAATTCAAGGGATATGCACTGTCTCATAAAGTTAACATAACAGATGACATTCAAGACACAGTTATCATATGTTTAATTAGGAAAAGAACTCAATGTGTTTTTTTTCCAAAGCATACTTCCATTAAATGGCTGTTGTGACATCTTTTCATTATTGTTTCGTACATCTTAAACCGCTAACATTTTTAGAGGGAATTATACTCAATTTTACAAATTATAGGTATTTAGGTCATTTTTATGGGAAGTGAAGAAGGTCATATTTACATTACATTTTATAGACATTTAAGCATATATTTAAGATATATATCAGTACATTCTTTAGCAGGAAAAGTGCAGGTCATATTTGTACTTTTTCCACAAGTAAATTATATTTCAGGCTATATTAAATATATAAAAATAATAATACTAACAATAAAATATTTTTAAAAATACACACACACACACATATATATATATATTGCTTCACAAGAATATAGTAAAGTTAAATTTAATTTAAATAATTCTCTTGCACCATTGCTGCAAGGAATAAAATTTGAATTTGACAAATATTCTCTATTTGTAAAAAGCTAATATAAAATTTAATTATGAAATTTAATTGCATATAAATAAATAAATAAATAAAATAAAATTTTATTGCTACGAACTAATTTACAATATCCTTTAAATTCTAAGAGCATATATTATAAATTAAGTGCTCGTATCTAAAACCATAAAAAAAAATATATTATTCCAAAAAATTAAATTGCATAAATGAATAATTGTTGGGCAGGCAGGAGACAGACTTATCAAGAGGAAGTTGCACCCAAACCCAACTCTTTAATTACTCAATTTGTGTTTCGTCATCCATATAGGCAAGGGTAAAAGTAAAATTCAAAACCAAAAGTAAACCAAATGTGGTGAATTACTAAAAGAGAAAATTAAAAATAGTGGAATTTTGAGAAATTAGCAAGAAAATGACTAGAATTAAAATTAATTAAATGTCAATTAAGAGTAGAAAAGCACATTTTTTAGAAAACCAAAGTAATTTAGAAACTCTTGTTTACTGGAAACTTCTCCAACATGAATTATGCATGTAAACCTAAAATAAACTATATACAATCTATCAAAAATAAATAATAATAATAAGGCTAGTAAATATCCAGTTTTAATTAACTTACCTAGAACTACAGATTTGAATTTCTGAGAAGGACTAGCATTTGCTAAATAAGGTAAAGTGAGTAGTTTGTTACTGCTAACTGTAAAAATAGAGGGCGCTAATACAATGTAAAGTTGACTGCAAAGATGCTACATGTGAGAGCTATTGTAAAAACTTAAGCTGTAAACTTTAATAATGTAAAATGCTTGTTTTGTGTGTAAAAATGTTGCTAACTTTGCGGCATTGTTAAAATGTGTAAAAAAAGTAAAAATTGTGATCTGCTATTGTTTGTGAAAATAGATGTTACAAACTATTAAAAATGTAAAGATTTTAGAGGGGAAATTTTTTTAGTAAAACAAATTAAAATTAAAGTTTGAATAAACATTTAAATTGAATTAATTTAATATGAATTTTAATTAGATAATTACAGACTGAAATAGAGAATTATTGCAATAAATTTTTTTGTATTAGACTGCATTATAAAACTGAATTTACAAGTTCAATCAAAACTAAATACTGGCCAAAGGTAAGGAAAATCAGAAAAATTAGATAAAAATCTTCACTCAATTCAGGCTATAATTGAGACTTTTGAAAAGAGTTGGCTGTTCATTAGTTAAAGGAAAGAATCCAGTATTGAGAAAATACACATTTTTACAAAATTAATTAACAATAATTACAAGTAATCCCTTAACTGTTCGAAATCCGCCATTACCCTCCAGTTAAGGTAATGAATAAAATTATACCACAAAGAGTAAAAAAATTAAAAAGAAAAGTTAATGCCTGCCTTTTTAATACAGTCAAAAGTCGTTAATCAGGACTCGTCGGGACTTCGGCGATTCCGAATTATCGATTTTTCCGGATTATAGATCATCAGTTTAAATCTCGTAAGATGGCATGCAGAAATTATAAAATTAAAAATATGAAACGGTAATTTATGAAATAAAGAACAATTATGATCTAAAGGGTATCAAAATTTACAAAAAAAAAGCTTAATATTTATTTGTTTACTTTTTTAAACATTTCTATCAATGTAAGTTATTTAAGTTGCTTCGTTTTTTATGTGATAATACATTCTCTTTAATTCTATAAACAGACATAATTTCTTGTTCAGTTACAAAGTTCCGCTGTTCAAGTCCTATAATTGCTGTGTTGAAAATACCGACTAATTTGTCAAACGAAATTTTTTCGTTTTCAATAACCTCTGTCACTTTCTTCGCTATCGGAAGCGAATTATAATGACGAGGAATTTGATTTAAATCATATCAAAGATGGAGTACATCGAGATGAAATATTACATTTAGTAAGGAATTATAAGCCAAATAAAATAAAAACAACTGCCCTGAAGATAAGGATAGTGCTGACAGATCAACTTCCGATTCATTGCGTGCCTGTGGTGGCGTTAAAGATAAACAAAGTTTAGATAAACAAAGGATATGCCTTTATCCATTTTTTGAAGCAATTCCACTTTTTGTTTAATGGACTTCGAAACATACTTTCGCTTTGTAGATCCTTTACATATTAGTAAATATATATCAGAAATTCTATTTGACATAATCAAGCTTACTTTTATAAAATTGCTCTAACAGTCTGCAAAAAATAATAAGCCGAATCCTATTTGAAGATTAAGGAACAACTCAATCTACAACATTAACTGAATTAGATAATTTTAGCTTAGCTTAAAGCGCATTCATAAGCATTCATAAGCGCAGAAAGTTTGTAGCTTTGAGGTCCGGATTATGGGTGTCCGAATTAACGACTTTTGACTGTATATTCAATTTGAAGCATTTTCATGGCTTTAAGTAAAATGAAGGTATTTCATACTTACCATAATCCAAACTTTAATTAAACAAAAAATATTTTTATGTAAAAGCAATCTTTAAATTCCATTGAAAAGGAAGCTTACATAATTTGCAGGGTCTTTGTATTCAATTTTGAGTAGTTCCATGGCTTTAATCATGCTTTGCATGGCCATAAATATATTTTGATAAACTAGTTTGATGAAACTCCTTTTGTCTTCATCTGAGTATCCAGAACCATGAATAATTCTCATTTGTTTTATGAAAGTACTTTTTCCGGATTCTCCAGTACCTGGAATAGGTTTATTTTGAAAATTATGTTATAAAAAATTAATTGTAATTACAAATAACTCTTAGCATCACACAAATCATGAACATAAAAGCAAAGAAATAAATTTAGTTAGAAGCAAACATAGAATAAAAATTAAATCACTTAATTCTGTTTTTCAGCATATGCTTTCATGCAAATAAAACAGTCAGTAAGAATGTATATATATATAAGTTCGTAAATTGTAAACTAGTAAAATCTGACTTCAGTACAGTCTTTCTTTATAAAGTGAATACTCATCATTAGTATAAAATTCTCTCAGTTGGTCTGTTCAATGTAAAACCGAATGTAACCAATACTGAATAATGGAAGAAGACTGTTACACTCGGAGCAAGTAACAATAATAGAGTTTTCCTAAGTAATTACCAATATTCATAAATAGATATATAAAAACTACTGCAGTTTACATAATTTCTTTAATCTTTCAGCTCTTCACACTTCTAGCGATTGATTCTCAATAAGCTACCTTTTGTTTTGGTAAGCAAGGATACATTAACTGTTACTGCTTTATATTTTTCTTGCATTTTGAAAAAAGTGATTAAAATTTGGGACCAGCTTTCTAGAAAACAAAAAACAGTGGATTATTTTCAAAGCAATTATATTCTACCATAAAAAAAAATGTGTGTAATAATGGTTATGATATGGCCAGCTGAATATGGCAGATAAAAGAATAACAGATTTGAATAATTACCTAACAACAATTATTTGCATCTCATATTACAATTTGCATCTCATACCAACAATTATTTGCATCTCATATAACATTGAATTTTCATAATGTCTTCTGTCATACACAGCTCCACTGCACGAGAACTGGAATGCTCTTGATTTTTTTGGGAAAATGCTACATGCCTAGAAATAATAAATTCCTTTTGCTTCATTTCTTGAAAAATGTAGCAGAAATTTGCTTTCCCATTTCTAAAATATAGTTTCTTTAACATTTAATTAGGTAAAAAATATGGTACTTATTCATAAACCGTCTCATCAGGTACACTGGAAACAGCTTTTTTTTTTTAAGTAAATATGAATAAATTTTACTAAAACATTGTCTCACTTTTTTTTTTTTTTTTTTGTCTATATATACACATTGTCAGCTAAACATGCTGTCAGTTAAATGTATTGTCTGCTAAATGTTTTGTCAGATAAATATTCTCTAGGCTAAATGTCTGTATTGGTTAAATGCCCCGTCAGCTAAATGCTGTACGTTAAGTGCCCTGTTGCCTAAATGTCATGCTGGCTAAATGTCCTGTAGGCTTAGTGTCTCATTGGTTAAGTGTCCACGACCACAGAAAAATGACATAACAGAAGATTGTTGGCACAAAAATGACTATAATACACTTTCATCAGCTGACTACTTTTCATATCAAAGTCACGAAGTACATCTGTTAAATTATTTTATTCTAGGTTGTTACATAAAATGCTAATTAACTGTCGAAAGACCCATTTGAATAATAAAAAGATAACTGTAAAAAGCAGTTCAAAATGCAGACTAACGATAATGAAGTTGAAATCACATGAAACAGGTGGATTTTTCAGAATTATATTAATGTATTAGGCAACACAGGTTAGCATGTCAAATTAATATAATTAGCCAGAAAGTGATGTGTGATGAACCATACGAAGGTTGGAAGCTGACTGAAACTAACATATTATTAGTATAGTCCATTACTGATGTCAGCCAAAATGTAACTGTACATTTGCACACTTGGTTCTGAGAGATACGAGAAGCTCAAAGACATGTTGATCAAGGTGACTCATGACCTACCATTTTGAAGATGACTATTATTTGTCAATAACAGCCCTTCGGAACAGATGACAAAATGCCCTTCTTAAGCAAAGATAATTTTTAACTTCAGTGGGAAAAAGAGCACAGACAGTTACAATTCACACAATCAGGAATGTATACACTTTGGCCAGCTGTTTGTGTCCGAACAACAATGTTCCCAAACTTGCAGGGCTCAAAGAAACTCTCCTAAAGAACACTGTGATTGAGGACCTGCCAAGTGAAGCCATATAAATCTCTTTTTCCACATGTCCAGATTTTGCATAGAGCTATATAACTCGGCTTAATGTCTTTGGATTATACTAATTAGTTCAATAACCCTAACAGACATGAAGCGAATTATCACTATGTCTGAAACAATGACTTCTGATCTGGAGAAAACATGGAAACAGATACAGTTTGATGTGTATCAACGAGAGATCACTAGAAACATTTTGCTTGTTTCAGCAGGTATGAGTTTAGGCAAATGTTCTGACCTGTACATATTCAGACTAGGTCTCTGACTGCTTAAAAGACATGGATAAAATTCAAAAATTTCTTAGTGATACCTTATACTGCTGCTACTGCTGATACAAGCCTTTTTTTATGCATGAAATTACTTTGTGAACTTAACCCCTTAACCCATTAACCGCCAAAACTACAAGGAATGTTTCTTTTCTCATGAAAATAATAACAAATATTAAATTAAGCATTTATAACATAAATTTACATTGAAGATAAAAAAAAATGCTCTTACCTGTGGAAAAAGAGAGTTTTGCATTCGCGCAACGTCAGCGAAATAAGACTACAGATGTTTAGTAAGTAGGATTGTACTCGTGTGACGTTTCTTTTGAGTAGAGCTCAGGATTACTTTTTAGCTGTATAACGTTTTATAAATCTACAAATCACTTTACTTGTAATTAATTTAATATTATAATATACATTGTATTTCTTTTACAAATGCAGATTATTTCATTTGAAAGATTCAAGCATGAAAAGCTTGATTACAATCATGATGTAAAGCTACATTACATACTTTGCATCTATAAACAGTATGGCTTTGGTACTCTTTACAACAAAGTCTTTTGTTATCAACGGACTTTACAATAAAATGTCTACCATCTCCATGCAATGGTTTTTGAATGCTGAATTTACTAGGTCTTCCTGTTGCTGATATATTTCTGGCTAATTCTACACTCTCAATAGGAGTTTACAAAAGAAATAATGCATTCTCGCGTCTGAAATCTAAAACAGACTTTATATTTACAGTAGTAAAAAGTGGTGATATTTAGTAAGTTTAGAACCTGTCTCACCTTATATAATTTATCAGTATTGTCAATTTGACTACTGTCAAATGCAAATTCTGCTTAATATTCCTGTACTGCAAACATGATATCAATTCTCATACAACAGGAACAGAAATGTCCTTATCAAAAAGACCAATATATTTTTTCTTGAGGTAAAGAATGATATCCTGTAAGCAATAATATTCCAATAAATTTTCTCATATAGGCTTCAGATGCAATAAATTCTGGGCATTTTTTTATTTCCTGAGCGTATATATTTGTCTGTTCAACGAGAAGAGAGTAAATGTCTAAACCAAAAAGAAAATCGAAAATATGTGCACTAGTTTTACCTTGTGTTTTATCTTTTATAATTTCTCTTCTATCTCTTTCTTCATGTTCTTCCTGAGACATAACTAACAGTTCCTTTTTTATCCACTTCAATATTTCAGTCTTCTGCTTTTTAAACTTTTTAGTATGACTATAACTGCTTTTAGAAGGCTGAAACTTACTTTTTACGTGAATTTCAACTTCCCCAGCAGTATCATTTGGTAAAATATCATTATCATTATTTAAAACATTGCCATTCCTTTCTTCTTCGTCAGTAGCCTCTGCAATTTCTGGGGGAACAACAACAATATCAGTTTCATTCTGGTCATTATTAACATTATCATCATCTGCTCCTTCATCAAAAAATCTTTGAAGGGCTTCTTCTAATATAAGATACCAACCTCGTTCTAGGCATTTTTAAACAACCAGAACATGAACCAGAACATCGAAAGGAATGAGTGAAAAAGGAGATTGACTACACGTTTCCTGCTGACATTGCGTCAATGCAACACCTGTTTTCCCTTTCTTCGCAACACAAATATAAACATCTGACTGATTTAATGTTCTAAATGCAATATATTTACATTACATAGTCATTGATGTAACAAATATGTGTCTTTCTACTCCTATGCGTTTAAAAAAAAAAAAAAAAAAAAAAAAAGGTGTTATTTAGTTTACAGTTTATCGTTCAAAAATCCATTTTCACTGTACAAAATTGCATTCATTCAAAGAATTCAATTTGTTTTCTTATTTTCCTCTCTTTAAAATTAAATGCAGAGAAGTTATCACTCATAGGGACGGCGATTCTTTCGTTAAATATTTTCAGCAAAAATACCCGGTCGAAAATTTTGCTTAAAGTATGAGATTCATTATTATTAACAAAATGATTATTGAAGGCAAATATTTTTTTACAGAAATAATCTTCATAATATTCCCTACACAAAATCATCTGCTGGTATAAAATATCTTAGGTAGTTATATTTATATACGCATTTATTTTGACCGTTGCGTCAACGCAACACCAGCAGCTAATGGGTTAACTGCTGTGGGCGTACATATATGCCTTGTTCAGCCAATGCGTTAACTGCCACTTTTAAAATACTATCATTTGCTTTGCGCTCCTACCCGTAAAATTATTCGCAAAGCTTTGGAATGCAACACCACAATGACCTTGACAAAGTATGCAAAGGAGGATACTATTTCAGAGAAGTGTAGGGAGAAATTGGAGGGAGGGATGTGTCTAAAGCCATGAAAGTAATAACTGCGCGGTATTGGCTGGTGTTGTTTGAGTAAAACATTTTTTTTTTTTTCCTGTGTCCTCCGTTTTAACTTACTTTTTGTAGTAGGTTACAGGAATAAAGAAAGATATAACGGATGTTTCAAACCCATTTATATTTTTTGATGAACTGCTCGGGCTTCATATTGTTACTGAAACTAACCATTTTGTAGATGAATATATGAACCAACACCTTGCAAACGAAAAATCAAGAACAAAATTGTGGCATTCAACCAGTTCAGAAGAAATGTGTGTTTTTTTTAGGCATACTGATTTCACAAGGTATAACACTGAGACCTGATATTACACTTTA